TTATCGGCCATCTGGAATGTGGGGGGTACCCAACTGAAAGTATTAGACAAACTTGGAATTGCCCAGAGTGTCATCTCCAGGCTTTGGCAACGATTCGAAGATGATGGTAATGTGAGTAGATGTTACAGCACAGGTCGCCCCAGAGTTACAACACCAAATGAGGACTGGTATTTGGCAGTTACTGCCAAAAGAAACAGGCGGAGCACAGCCTCAGACCTGTCTCGTCAGCTCTCTTTAGCCACTGGTACGATAATTTCAAGGCAGACCGTGTACAGACGCTTAGGGCAGATTGTTTTATATGCTCGTAGACCTGTCAGATGCGTTCCACTTACTGCAAATCACTGTCGCCTGGAGTAGAGAGCATGCATTGTGGACACTGCAACAGTGGGCTTGTGTGATGTTTTCCGACGAGTCCAGATTTAGCTTACAGTCTGATTCTCGCCGGAGGAGCAGGAGTGCTCGTTTGGGGTGGAATTATTCTGGGTTCCAGAACTGACCTGCATGTTCTAATTGGAACCATGACAAGCCAAATCTATCAGGACGTCATTCTGGAAAAACATGTATGTTTGTTTCAGGGTGCCATGGCGCACAATTTGTGCTTATAGATGACAACGGCGGTCCTCACCATGCAAACATCGTAAGCAAATGCCTTCAATTGGAGGATATCACCCGTATGGACTGGCCAGCATTCTCACCGGACTTGAATCGAGTAGAGCACGTGTGGGACATGCTTGGCCGACGAGTTGCAGCCCGTCAACCTCCTCCTACATGTCTACCGGAACTTCGGAGAGCATTGCTTTTTGAGTGGTGTAATATCTCCCAAGATCAGATCGTAATTTGATACTCAGATGCCTAGGCGTTGTAGGACTGTATTGCATCGTCTGGGAGACATACAATGTATTAACAATCATAGCAACCAGTAATATGGTTTTGTGTTTTTTTTTTTTTTTTTTTTTTGTAATTTGCTCCAGGTAAAATCCCTAATTTTTTTAAGCTAATCTTTGGAATATGGTAACAGGTAGTTTGGCGACATTTTGGAGGCGATAAAGGTTACTACCTAGGACTTTGGGAATAATGTGAGAAGTACTCAGTTCCGATTACGCATTATTTTGTGTGTGGGGAAAGATGATGAGATCATGAGATATGGAAATGAGAGATCATGAGATATGTCATGTGACATTAATGGACGAATAAATTACAGTTCTTTAATCGGAAAAGGGGGTAAATTTGGAAAAATATCTGCAGTACTATAGCTATAGTATTTTGTATTAAGCTTCATTGTGTGTTGTGTGAAAGAGTTGATTAATTTTTGGATTGCATGGCGCTATCTAAAGTGAATTCTAAAATTTTTAATGCATTTATCTGATAATTCAAAAGAATTGGTTGAATGGTGTATGAGTGTAGGATTAATTGCGGATAAGTATGAATGTCCAACATGTGGGAATGAAATGAGATTGTGTGAAAGGAAGGATATTACAGATAAGTTTGAATGGCGGTGCAAGAAATCTGGTGAAAATGGACATTTTGTGATCCGCCATGCACTCAAGATTCTGAAGAAGATTAGGTAAGTTAGTATTTTTAATCATTTGAGGATATTATTTTTATGCATTGTTCTAAATGTAAGGAGTAAATAAATTAATATGGTATTATTGGAAAATTGTTATTAGCAATGATTTAGTTTAAAGTAATTAGGATTGTAAGCTAATTTTTATTAATTTAATGTATGTGCTTATTTATATTTTAAGTAGTGTTTTTTAATTTAATTATATTTAATGATGATTTTGTGAGTTATATGTTTGTAGTAATTTGGAATACGTTTGAGTTGAAGTAAATGTGCATGGAAATAATTTAAATATTTGACACTAAGTATTGGAACCTTTTTAATGTTTGCGTTATAAATTGGCAGGTGAGGTTTAATAATAGATAATTTAGAGGGAAAGTTTTTGGATATTTTATTTATTTTATACGTGCAAATGTTCATCCTTGGAAAGGGTATATACTTTTTCGCGATCAGGTAATTTCATATATGTCCTTTTTACCGAATTTAAAGATTCACAAAATTTTTCTAATTTATGAGAAAAAAGCAGTGTACATGGATATAGTGAAGAGTGTGCGCAATGCCATTTTTGTGCAATTCTGGGATGTTTTTTTAAGTAAAAATAAGTCGACGTGTACATGGTTTAATTATATTTTAATTAAATGATAGTTATTTTGTGAATTTTATGTTTGTAGGAATTTGGTATACGTTTCAGTTGAAGTAAACGTGCATGGAAATAATTTAAATATTTGACACTAAGTATTTGTAACCATTTTTAATGTTTGCGTTATAAATTCGTTGGTGACGTTTATAATATAGATAATTTAGAGGTAAAAATTTTTGGATATTTTTATTTTTATTATACGTGGAAATGTTCATCTTTGGAAAGGGTATATACTTTTTCGCGATCAGGTAATTTCATATATGTTCTTTTTTACCGAATTTAAAGATTCACAAAATTTTCATGCATTTTCGTGAAATTTTTCTAATTTATGAGAAAAAAGCAGTGTACATGGATATAGTGAAGAGTGTGCGCAATGCCATTTTTGTGCAATTCTGGGATTTTTTTTTTAAGTAAAAATAAGTCGACGTGTACATGGTTTAATTATATTTTAATTAAATGATAGTTATTTTGTGAATTTTATGTTTGTAGGAATTTGGTATACGTTTCAGTTGAAGTAAACGTGCATGGAAATAATTTAAATATTTGACACTAAGTATTTGTAACCATTTTAATGTTTGCGGTATAAATTCGTTGGTGACGTTTATAATAGATAATTTAGAGGTAAAAGTTTTTGGATATTTTATTTATTTTATACGTGTAAATGTTCATCCTTCGAAAGGGTATATATCTTTTTGCGATCAGGTAATTTGTAATTTCATATATGTTCATTTTACAGAGTTTAAAGATTCACAAAATTTTCCTGCATTTTCGTGCAAGTCTTTGTAATTTATGAGAAAATAGCAGTGTAGATGGATAAAGTCAAGAGTGTGCACAATGCCATTTTTGTGCAATTCTGGGATGTTTTTTTAAGTAAAAATAAGTCAACATGTACATGGTTACTGTGTATGTGCGAATCTGAAAAAGCGGCAAGGAGTTTGCGATTTTGCACTTTTTCCCAATTTTGCAGTTAATATTTGTCATGATTAAGCAGTTTTGTTCCATGAAATTTCTAGCATAAGTGTAATTCGGCTAGTAGATTGTTGGAAAAAGTGCTGAGTAAATAAAAAGAAAAGAAACATGTTTTTACTTCGTGAAGACAAAATGGCGGCGAAAAAAAATAGAGGTTGCTGTAGCAGAGTTGGTCGCCAAATTTTCGCCAAGTTACCATAATCCAAAGATTAACCTTTTTTAATAATATGAAACATATAGGATCTTGTTTTGCTCTTTACCTTTTCTTTAATAAATAAGCTTTAGAAATAAATCAAATTTGTTTTGCTCTTAACTCTTCCTTTGCCTGATTTTCCATTATCCTTAATTTATGGAAGAGTAGTTAAATGCATAATAAGCAACAATTGTATGAATAAAAAATATTTAAATGTTCTTAAATACCATGAAAATTTAATTAAAACAATGATAACTGCATGTATGGTATCAGTGTATATGGACTATTTGAATGCCGTGGCAACTTCACTCCATTGGCTAGTATAGTTACGCAAGCAACCAATAAACTATCAGCGAAAAACAGACACTTAAGCCGCATATAACAAAGATACCTACGTTTATTTCTTGCACATGCTTCAAAGTAATTCGAGTCCTGAATAAATAAACTCTCACATACAGTGGCTCCCAAAAGTGTTCGTACACTTATGATTTTCACTGAAATAGGGCTGTATCCATTAATTAAAAGTAAACTTTCTGAATGAGATTTTAATACAGTCAAAAGTCTTTAATCCGGACTCGTCGGGACTTCGGCGATTCCAAATTATCAATTTTTCCGATTTAGATCATCAGTTTAAATCTGGTAAGATGGCATGCAGAAATTATAAAAAAAATATTGAAACCATAATTTATGAATAAAGAACAATTATGATCTAAAGGGTATCAAAATTTACAAAAAAAAGCTTAATATTTATTGTTACGTTATTAAAAATTTCTCAATGTAAGTTGCTCGTTTTATGTGTAATACTTTCTCTTTAATTCTATAAACAGACATAATTTCTTGTTCAGTTACAAAGTTCGCGTTCAAGTCCTATAATTGTTGGTCAAGTAACTTGTCAATCGAAATTTTTTGTTTCAATAATGGTCACTTTTCACTATCGGAATGTGATAATACCATATTTCTGGTGTACCGCTAATCCCCTTTTTTTGGTTTCAAACCCTGTGTCTTCTTCACTATCGAAGCGAATTATAATGACGAGGAACATATCAAAGACGGAGTACTTCGAGATGAAATCCTGCATTTAGTAAGGAATTAAAGACAAATAAAAAAAACATCTGCCTGAAGAAGGATAGTGCTGACAGATCAAGCCAATTACATGCGCTACGCCCTCCCCCGCTGCGTAAAATTGATAACCGATTTCGGAATGGTTAGAGAAACAAAGGATATGCCTTTATCCATTTTTGCAGTAATTCCCTTTTTTTTGATGGACATGAAAAATACTTTCGCTTTGTAGATCTTTTGGCAGCTCCAGCATCGGAAATTCTATTTGACATAATCGAAGGTTCAAGCTTCCTTTTATAAAATTGCTCTAACAGTCTGCAAAAAATAATAAGCCGGATCCAAATCGAAGATTAAGGAACAACCCAATCTGCAACATGTCTGGATTATAGATCATTCTGGATTCTGGGTGTCCGGATTAATGACTTTTGACTGTACAACTTTATAAATGGGTGAAAGGAGGGACATTATCCTCAGTAATTAGTTCTAAGAAAACATTTTTCAAGAGCTTTTTTTTTTAAATAATGTGCAATTAAAATGGAGATAATTATGGAAAGTAGTTATTTTAAAATTTTACAATATTCGGGTCAAATGTATATATTTTATTAAACTTAGTTCAAGTTTTAAAATGTAGTAAGTAAAATAATACACTTTTTTTTTTTTTTCACTATTCCAATTTTCTGTTTTAAGGCACAAATCATCCTTTCACAGTCAATGAAATAATATGAACTAAGACATTTACCAAAAGGAGTTAACAGATAAAACATCAATAACAAAATGCTCCTCCAATTAATTTTCAGAGCTTTATCAATCAGGATACAGCTTGCATGAAATTTAGAATTTCCCTGGTTTTCAGGCATAATTTGATTTAGAAATATATTAATTTTTAAAAGTTAAGAGACGTGCAGTAAAACCTTGTAACGAAAAATCTAAGGGGGGGGGGAACTAAGATATACAGTAAAATTTTTATAATACATATGACATTTATTATGCATATACTATAATAAAGGCCTTTTTCATGGAATACTTACATTAACTGATACATTCAAGCTACATGGGACAGTTCTCTACAGTTCTAAAAAAGTGCTATGAAAGTAAGTAAACAAAGATCACTAACACATATAGTAAGGAAGAATTTTCAATAAAATACACACTGTTCTCACCTATATGTAAGTTTTCAAAACCTCAAATAAAGCTCCATTCACATAACTGTAAACGTTATTAATTCTGTTAAAATAATAATAACGATTGTATTGATATAATTACAGAATGTAGAAACATTGCATTTCGGCTACAATTCTATGCTTGTAATCATCAATAAATGTAACATAATGTATGCTACACAATCATTTACTATTTGCTTAATGTTTTACATAAAAATGTCTCAGAAATTACAACACAAAAGATTCAAGCCATCATGACTGGCTTCTTCACTTTTGCATCTAATTTTTCATTTGTACTAGCATAACCAGTTCCACCTCTTTGAAGTGGAATTATATCTTCTTCTTTTAACTTTTGCCCATTTGTAGGATCAATCATGTCTTTTTTTATCAGCTTTTCCACACATTCCATGGTTACGACATTACCTGATGTTCGCAGCACAGCACAAGGTACAGAGTTCCCAAGAATATCATGAGTTACAGCACACATATAACGATCCTTGCGGGTAATCAACGCTCTCTTATCATCCGGATCATTCACTTCGGTAAAATGCACTGGGATTAGGTCTTTTGCTTTCAAGGGTTTCCCACTCATAGGACACAACACAGATTTCTCAGGTTTTTTTATTTTTACCTTCTCAGCATCAGGTGTAAGGGATGGGATCCAGAAACTTGGTAGAACCTTCTCTCTTCCATTGCTTGTATTTGATATACTAGAAGAAGCAGCGTCAGAAATACCATTTGATGTAGAAGCGACTGGTTTGCTGACAATACTTTTCTCCATTTCGATGAATTTCTGAGCTTTAGATTCCTCCTCTGCTTTTGCTAATTCTGCCATTCGTTCAGCTTCCTTTTTTTGTTGCTTCTCATACTCCTTCATTCGTCTAGCTATCTCCTTTTTCTGATGAATAATATACTCGAGAATGGCTTCTTTGTCGTATAAGTATCCATCTGGAGTAACAACAGGATTTCGACACGGCTGGAGTGTTAAACAACAACAGTCAAAATCTTTAACAGAATCCTTGCCAATGCGACCCTGCAGTGTACCATAACCACACGCTTTATTGTCCTTTTTCTTTTCATGGTAAGTGTAGACAGCACCCGCAGTGCAATTTCTTGCGTGCCTGGTCATTTTTAAACTTCTCTAGATAATAAAAAATTATCACAAACACAAGTTACTACACGTTATTAAAAACTAATCACAAGCTATCAAATATTTACTAGAAATTTGAACGCTCTCCTGACACTCGCGACGAAACAATTATGACAACATAAACACACGTGACGTTAAACGCAGGACAAATCTTTGCCCTTCGATAATGTATTATATCAAACTCTTTTTTTTTTTTTAATAACCCATGATAATATAAAAAGTTTCATAAGTAAGTAAGAAAATGTAAATACAACTCTCAAAAATTTTTGCTTTTATGTACATAGCAAGATTTATTATCATTAAAATGCTTATGAAATTGTTTTTTATACAAGATTTAAGAAAAAGAAATAATTTTTGTCTGGAATAAAGTTTAGTATAGCCAGTTTAGAAGAGAGAAGTTATCATGAGACTGAAATTGTTGAATTAAATGTAAATCGAAAAACAAAGCTACTAATACTCTCCGTAGCAATGATACCGAAACATAAAACTATGCTTTTTCGAAAATGGCAATAAACACTAAGTTGAATGGCGGACTGAATGTCGGTGTTTGTTGATAAAAACATTTAACTTTTTAGACGGTAAGCGTAGATTTAAACATTTCATGCCTGTTTACATCACTTGTTCTCTGCAAATTTTTGTGAACATCTTCGGTTTGTCTTTTTTAAAATACATAATTGCTAAAACTAGTAATCTGTGTTTCCTTAAAAGGAATGAATTTTCTTTTACTTTTTTAAATTTAAATTTGGGAAATTCATGTAGCTAATACTGTTATAGTGTACCTTTTTTTTTAATATTATTTTTTAAAAATTTTTACCAAAATATTTTAGACGTAGTACGTAATTGTACATTTTTCAATGACCGTTATGATGTGAAATGATGTATGTAGGCGGCTAAAGGTTTCTGAATGATCTCATTAATACCAAAATATGACTTCATGAATGAAAACATAACTTCTGATTCCTGTGGCATTACGTCTAAATAAGATCGCTACTATTGAAATATTATATAAGGCTCTATGGTTATATAATTTTAATTGAAAATTGTGATAAATTATAAAATTGAATTCTGACATATGAATACTTCCTGTAAAAGTGTATGTATTTTTGTCATGGAAAATATATTTTTTACTAGAATATTTACCATTATTTAAAAGACATGCCTATTTTATTTAAATATCTTAAATTTAAATAAATGAGTGTAAATTATTAATGATGCCATGAAGGAAGTGTCCGGTCATAAAGAAGGGGAAAAATATTAATGACTCCCCCCCCGAAGAAAATTCTGCATGAATATTAAGTTTTATAAGTATATGAATTATTTAGTTACATTTATTCATATTGTTGACATTCTTTGATAGTCGCATTTTCTCTTGAGTAAATATTTTAAAATTGAAATTATTAAAGTTAAAATTAACATGTGGCTATTTTCTTATACCCCATATATATATATTGATTAAAGTGTGTTTATTTTATGTCTTCCTTTTTAGCACTTTGCTGATTTGCAATGTGTTGTTAGAGAGTTATAGTATTTCATGAAATATCAGCATTTAGTGTGAAGAAGTCATGCTAACAAGCATGACTTCTTTCACACTAGATGCTGATATTGCATGCAGAGTTTTTAAATTTTGGATTTACATAATAGTGACCACTAAAGTATCTGATAACTATAAAATCAAGCAAGCAGTTTAAAACCACAGTTTTAAAGCATGTGGGAAATTACGATGCAGTGTTCATTTCTTGAAAAATTTCAAGGCTTCTCTTCCTTTAGTAACAAAGAAACTTAGTGATTTCAGTAACCGTCTTCATCATATTTTGATAATATGTAATCCTTTTGTAATTTTGATAATATGTGTATAAGTAATCTCCTGCCTAAGTAATTTGTCATTTCTTTTCTTTTTCAAACACAGATCTATAAATTATTTTTCACTTTTATTCTGTAGCAACTAATTTTGTATTCTTATTATTAATTAATTTTTAAAACATATTAAAAAGCTGAAAAGAGTTTATGTATAAAAGTGGATATTTAAATCTCAAATGATGTAAATAATTTTTAATTTTACTTTTAATGCTAGGATAATAAGTATAAAATAAAAAAGTTTCTATTGCAACATATAATTAAATTATAGTATGTACTATTATAAATCTAACTAGTTGCATCACTCAAAGTTAATGTTGCTCTATTGTAATGCAAAATGTTCTGCAAACTTATTGTTGTTAGCTGATTGAAGTTAAATAACTAAACCCTTATGCAGAACTCTTCGAAATTTGTTTTTGGAAGACAATTTTTTGGTGATCTTTTGGTACTTGGTGTTTTTTTTGGCAAAAATTTGCCGACCAACTCTCCTACAGCAACCTCTATTTTTTTTTTCTTCCGCCGCATGTTCTTTCTTTTATCGGAACTTCTTCCAACAATCTACCCTTATGCTAGAAATTTTATCTAACAAAACTGCTTAATCATGACAAATATTCACTGCAAAATTGGGAAAAAGTGCACAATACCATACTCCTTACGCGTTTTTTCAAAATAACACATACACATAAACCATGTACACGCCGACTTATTTTTACTTAAAAAAACATCCCAGAATTGCACAAAAATGGCATTGCGCACACTCTTCACTATATCCATGTACACTGCTTTTTTCTCATAAATTAGAAAAATTTTCACGAAAATACATGACAATTTTCTGAATCTTTAAACCCGGTAAAAAGAACATATATGAAATTACCTGATCGCGAAAAAGTATTATACCCTTTCCAAATATGAACATTTCCACATATAAAATAAATAAAATATCCAAAAACTTTTACCTCTAAATCATCTATTATATTATACACGTCACCAACGAATTCATACCGCAAGCATTACAAATACTTAGTGTCAAATATTTAAATTATTTCCATGCACGTTTACTTCAACTTAAAACGTATACCAAATTCCTACAAACATAAAATTCACAAAATAACTATCATTTAATTAAAATATCACTAAACCATGTACGTCGACTTATTTTACTTAAAAAAAAAACATCCCAGAATTGCACAAAAATGGCATTGCGCACACTCTTCACTATATCCATGTACACTGCTTTTTTCTCATAAATTAGAAAAATTTCACGAAAATGCATGAACAATTTTCTGAATCTTTAAACCCGGTAAAAAGAACATATATGAAATTACCTGATCGCGAAAAAGTATATACCCTTTCCAAATATGAACATTTCCCCATATAAAATAAATAAATATCCAAAAACTTTTACCTCTAATTATCTATTATATTATAAACGTCACTAACTAATTCATACCTTTACTTCATTACAAATGGTTACAAATACTTAGTGTCAAATATTTAAATTATTTCCATGCACGTTTACGCAATTACTTTACTTCCACCTTACATTTAGAACAATGCATAAAAAATATCCTCAAATAATTAAAATACTAACTTACCCTATTCTTCTTCAGAATCTTGATTACGTGTCCGATAAACTTTTCTTATTCTGTTTCAGGATCTTTAAAATCATACTTTTAGTTCACACCAAGGTACCAGGTAAAATAAATAACTTAATAAACATCTTTACTTCTATCTCGCACAACCTTAAAGAAACACTTATTACCCCTTTCAATCCCACTAAATACCCATTTCGAATTCACTTTAGTTAGGGCCATGGGATCCAAAAATTAACGAACACTGTTTCACACAACACAGAATAAAGCAAATACAAAATTTCCAGATTTTTCCCGATTTCCCCCCTTTTCCGATTAAAGAACCGTAATTCGTCCATTAATATCACATGACATATCACATGATCTCTCATTTCCCTCACACAAAATAATGCGTAATCGGAACTGAGTACTGCTCACATTATTACCAAAGTCCCAGGTAGTAACCTATATCGCCTCCAAAATGTCGCCAAACTACCAGTTACCATATTGTAAAGATCAGCCTTTTTTTTATTGATTTAGTTTTTTTACTTTTATTTGTTTATATAGTATGATATGAAATTAATTTTTAATGTGAGAAAGTGTTATTATTAATATAAATTTAATCAAGTGTTAAACTTGTTTTTGTTAAAAATTTGAAAAAATTCATGTAAGTTTATTGAAATGAATGGTACCTACGTATTATCCCATTGACCATGAAACTGTCACCAAGCAGTTTGATATAGTGCCAATTCTGGACAAGTGCAACATCAACAACACATTCATAATACCTGCACTTTCATGTAATATAATCCTGATTGATGCTGAATAAGTCACTTTTTGTTTTTATGAACAATGATATAAATTAACTTATGGCTGTATTTTTTCTCACTGCATTCAAGTTCATTTTTAGCTGGTTCAGAGAATTCATCAGCTGTTGAATGGAAAGAAGAGTAGTTGGATATGGCTGACAAAACAATAGGAGATTGGAACAATCAGCTGCAGGAAGTTTGTACTGGAAGGATTCTAAACAGAGTTCTTAACATAGCTTCAATAAAATCAAATCGAAGGGCTTAATAAAATAGTAGAAATTGACTAAAGTCTTTTTATAAAGCAAAAAAATGAAGTAAATCAAATATTTCTGCAGCAGTTGTTATTTGGTAAATTGTGCAGAGACTGCTGATTGTTTTATTGTAATTTGCAGGAAGACTAATGCAACGTTGGCGTGATCTCTGCCAGCTTTCATCGTTCGATGGTGATCAGATTTCATAGTTGATAGGATAATCTATAAGTACCAAATAAATTTATGAAAATCATTTCTATGTGTACTGTAAAAAGTATTCAAACATTATTATTACTTTTGTTAGGTTATGTCCCTGTTTTATTCATACTCTGATAAAAAGATTTCCTTGCAAAGCTGATATGGATCCAAAAGAAGAACTTGAAGAATTTTTTGATTGTCCAGAAATTTGTAATTTTGAGGAATATGACACTATATTTGTAAGTCAAACACTTGAAAAATAATTTAATCTCTTCATTTTTATCTTATGTTTAGGACTTCACAACTTAAGTTTGATTCATGTGTATTGTAACCGTTCAAATAATTAAACAAATTTGTTTCCTGTGCAGTGCAAAAATTTGTCTACTTACCATATTGGTCCAGTTAGAAGCCACACATTTTATCAAAATTTCATTTATGTAAAAGAAGGATATAG